CTAGCTAAGACCCTTAGATCCTTCTTCTTCTTCTGTGTGTTTTGTTTTACTATTAGCTATAATAAGTACAAATCATCGAAAAACTGCCGATTTCATCTTCAAACTCTACCTTACAAAGCTCTCTTGATCACTTACTTTCCCCTCTACATTCATTTCTAGTTAAACACTGAAAACTACTCGCTGTCTAGAAAAATTCCACATGCTTCGGATGAATTTCCTGCAACCATGCCAAGCCTGTTGTAAACCTTTACATCTAATTCTACAACCTTCTTCTACTATATAAATACATAAACCTAGAAGCTTCCGTAAACAAAGTGCACTGTAAACATATTCCTAAGTATCTTTTAATATAATATAAATTTTGTATCATAGACTCATTGCTAAAATATCTTTAAATTTCTTCGTTATCAACTTTTTTAAAGTAACACTGTCTTCATAAATAATACGGTGGCAAATGCTGGATTAAATTTCAAATTTTCTGAAGTTGTCCATCATCATTTGCAAATTGGATGTAAGGAAACGTGGCATGTTATCTTCATTAGTGGATTTGCACCTAAATTATGCTCATGCAACTTTTCAATTCAATCAAATCAGACTTACTTTCCCAACAAATCTGTGTGGGGTCATTTCCTCTATTAAACCAAAAACTGTAATCTCTTTCTTGTTATCTCATTCCATTCTAGTTTCAGCCATCTCCTTCCCCTGACACTGCAGTCAATGTATTAATGATACTTATGGTCATCACTATGTTCGACTAAGCTTAATAAAATGCACATGGCTATTTTTTCCCTCTCTCTTTTCCAAGAAGGTTCAAAATGTACCATTTAATATGCTTGAACTCCCTAAGCTAGGATTTTTTAATGGACCTGGATACCACTTGAGCAGAAATTATGTGCACATCGCTTAAATAGGCTACTTTTGCTTGATATAGGCAGGTAATTTCACCAACAGTAAACAAAAGCAAAAATGAGAAACCACTTTGGATAGTAGGAAGAAATAAGTTTTCATTTGAAGGGCATGCAACTTCCTGACATGAGCCGTGTAGCCTGGATTCTTGTTACTATGCGACTCATTCTTGCAGGTATTACTTGCATTATCAATAATCATTACCCAAAAACCTTGTTTATGCAATGAAACAAACAATCCTAACCTTAAATGGCATTTGTGAACTCGGCAACCCTGTTCCTTCGGGAAAAAAGGTGCCTCCTCACAAAGGTGTTCACAACGACCAAGCCCGAATGACTGGTTATCAAAAGCACGAGTCCACAAAGTCATAGTATCATGTATGGTGGGTTGATGCTTTGATGCTGGGTGGAACGAGGAGAAGAAGAAAGAATAAATAAGAGATACTATACCCTCGCAAAGATTAGTTCAAGAAAGCACACAAATTCTCCACAGAGAATAAAGTTGACTAATATCACTCTCTCGAATGAAAATAGTAGGAATCACATCAATATTTATAGGCCAAGTCTCTTACCAAAATTAAAATTACTCTCCTACTAAAATTCTACAATATTTCCTAAACAAGCCCCTCACAACTAAAAACTACTAAGACACTCTTACTCAAACAAATATTCCTTAATTATTATAATAATACTAATATAAATAATAAATTTAATTATTCAATTTAAGTTTATACAATACCTTTTCATCCCTATCACGTCTACCCAATGCCGGAAGGTCAAGCAAATTGATGACATGATGATAGGAAATAGGTGACAGAAGCCCCAATGAATGGCATTTGCTCACCGGCATATTTTGATTTCACATTTTTGTGAAATATATACGTGCCTCCTTATACAAAGAGTTATCTATTGGAACAATGCTCTTACTGATCTATTAAAAAGAAGTAGATCTATACGAGGAGAATGAATAATGTGTTCGGAGAAATTTGTACAAGAAGTCGTGGATACACTCCTTGATAATGGAATTTGTGAACAACCAATGAGGGCCAGTCATAATAAAGTTTTCAAGTCATTTTTAGATATTTAAAGCAAGAGGGAAGATTTGGTGAACTAGATCATGAATGTTTGGAATCCGTTGGCAGTCATATTGCTTTGCTAATTCGAATTGAAGGGTGTGATAGAAAATTGGTCTATTTTCGACATCATATCTATAATTAGCACATTCATCATAATTAACACTCTCAGCACCGTACCAAGGTCACGATCGATATCGTCCCCGGCATAAATATTAGAAACCTCGTTTATGCCATGCATAAATATTAGAAACCTCGTTTATGCCATGAAACTATCCTAACCTTATACACCTATTCAACAGTTAACCTTATTTATGGACAAATAAAGTTTCCTAACTACACATTGCTAACACTTGCATTATCAAGAATCAAAACAAGATTAGATAATTAGCTAAGAGGTCCTAAAAAACCACAAAAAATATTCAATAAGGAAAAAAAAAAACCACCAAAGAGGGGCTCACCTGGTGGCAGCAAAAACAAATACACCAGTCAAGACTTCCACACCATCTAGTTCAGTCAAAAACTGGAAAAAGCCACATAAAATAACTGAGAACATTATATGCAAAAATAACGCTCAGGAAATGTGAGATAGAAGGATTGAACAATAGACTGACTTGATTAACAACTCGATCTGTCACTCCAGTATTGTCGTGCCCCCTTTTCGGTGCAATGGAATCAAATTCATCGAAAAATAGAAGGCATGGTGCCGCAGCGGCTGCTTTGGAGAATATGTCCCTCACCTGAAACCATGAATACATCCAAATTATTTAGAAAAATATACAGTCAGTTCTACAAGTTGATAGGGATCGAAAAGTAATAAAACGAGGCTTTAAAGTGAAGATTAGGATTTAAGGGATTTACATTATTACAATTTTATAAATTAGGTGCACTTTTCAATTTAGGAATTTCCTATTATTCTTATGCTTTATTTTTGGGAACTGTTTATTAGGGTTTTAAGGATTTCCTATAATAGGATTTTTGTCTAATGTGTAATCAAGACTGAAATAATTGAAGGAAATATTGAATTGCCTTGGCACTGTTCCAATTTTGGTTTCTTTTGGGGCAACGTATTCTTTTATTTCTGATCTTGTGTTAAATGTTCTCATTCTTCCAAAAAAAAAAAAAATTTGATTTTCTCATTCAAAAATTATCTAACTTAAATCATTCTGAATCTCTGGGCTAATTACCCCATACTCCTATCTGATTTTTGACCGAATATGGCAATATTTATTCAAATATACATGACTTGAATGAATTGCGTTTGAAAAAGGAAAGTTCATGAAATAACCTATAAAATTAAATTTTCCAAGAGGCTAAACTAATTAAAAAATCTTATTTAAGCCAAAGTCCTCCACAATGGAATCCACCCAAAAAAATAAGGAAAAACTCTGGCTTCATTTTTATCATTGCAAAAGCAATAGAATGTCAGTGCTTACGACCACATTTACCCATGACAAGCATAAATTCTTCATTGACACTTGGAAAAAAGAGGAGTTAAACTATATGTTGCCATCTTCATAGAGAGCCACCAGTGGTGAACCCATGCAATACCCGAAGAACAGGACTCATGATTAGTTTGAAAAGTAATCAACAAATAGATACGCAACTAAATTTAGCCTATGTTAGGGGGGCAATTGACAACAGTGGAGTGAGCAATGACTTCAATAGCATTGGTCAATAGATTTAACCTATCACAATGGTAGAACGTGAGTACCAAATAGAGAATACCTTAACTCACGGTGAGAGGAAAGGAATGCAAATTATAACGGAAAATAATATCAAAGATGAATTCTTGCCCTTACATAATTTCTAAATTGAACAAAGTCAAATAGTACACCAAATGCTTTGTCTATGACTAAAGAATAAGATAACCCAAAATTTGTTGCAACAGACTAAGATAATCTCTACAACATGAACCTTGCATGAGTTTATATCATCAAAAGGACAAAGAAAAATTATTATAGGATATGTTTCTCTCTTACAGCTTGCTCAGAAGCACCAATATATTTGTTCAGCAGCTCAGGGCCTTTCACCGAAATAAACCGCAGTGAGCAGGCAGCAGCAGCAGCACCAACAATATGTGTTTTTCCACAACCAGGAGGGCCATATAAAAGAACATTCGACCGCATTCTTAAAGGAGCTTGTGCAAAGATATTTGGAAACTTTGAAGGCAGCTCAATCATCTAACATGGAAACATAACATATCACAGCCCAAATATGTCAAACAGGATTTATCACTCGCCATCATTAATAACATGTAATTCATCTGTACAGCGGTTTCAGGGATATACAAGTAACAATAAGATCTGTACACAGTTGACACAAAAAGATAAACCTCTTTGATAGCATTCCGGATGTCACTAAGACCACCAACGTCTTCCCAACCACTGCGTCCACCTTCAGGTGGTTTAGTGATGTCACGCATGGCAACTGGAAGGAACTCTTGCATTGCTTGCAAAAAATCATCCATTACTAAAGTAGGCCTCTCATGTTCTCCGGAAGCCAAATCGCCCGATAAAAAGCGACCGATGGCAGCATGAACAGACCTATCAACCAGTATTTCCTGAAACAGTTTAATTTTTTTCTAGTTATTTCTCTTTCAGCAACAAATAAAGTCATTAGATAGAGAAATGGGATGGAGACAGTTCCTATCTTAAAGAGAGAATTACTGGTGCAAAACTTATTCAAGATAATATCTATCTAATATTACAGCTAAAAGTTGAATTCTAAACTTCAAAGCACAACAGTCAAGATTGATCCAATCTTCATCTACTTTGATCCAATAATACAAAATTCATCCCAAAAAAAATTTCCTGCCAAAAAAAATCAGCTTCTTTGCCAGACAACTCAATCAACACATTCCCCAATGTCAAACAATCTCATAAATCCACACCTACCTCTCTCTTCATTTTAATTTTAAATTGTGTAATTAAAAAACTAAATATTATTTAAAATACAAAAATTACAAGATCAATTCAATTTTTAATATTTTATAGTGTCTTCAGACATTGAATTATTGCTAGTATACTAGACAAGAGAGAATGAAAATAACTCATCAGTTCAGAAGTGCTAAAACTAAAGTAGAGAGATAAAAATATTAGTGCAATTCCAGAAAATAGCTCATCAGTTCAGCAGTGCTAAAACTAGAGTAGAGAAATAAAAATATTAGTGCAATTCCATATTGTGAATTTAATTAATGCAGGGGCAAAAAAATTGTTTTGCTAAACTTGACATGTGGATAGATTCAACAAATAAAAAGATAATGCAGTTAATAGATTCTAATAGCCTCCAAGCAAAAAGAAGTAATATTTACAGCAGTTCAATTGCAATCATGAAACCTTTGAAGTGCAATCGAGAATCATTCTTCTGGAGGAGCAAAATATAATTGAGACAAGCATGTACACCAACATAAGCATGCGTGCTTGACCAACATTATCCACCATTTGAGGATATCATGAATCAGCTTCTCATAAGAAAGATTATCAACATCTGCCTCATCATCTGTGACTGTTTTCAGAAAAAGCTAAACGGATGACATTCTAGGCTTTCTAGCCCATAATTCATTAAGCTGCTTTTGCCTTTAACTTGAATTGAAATTGGACCGAGTTTTCCTAAAGGACATTCTACCACCATGGAAAGTCAACCAAAGCTTTTACCAAGAGTGTAGGACGTTTTCCACTTATTTGGATTTGAAAAGGCAGAGTCCAGGTTTCTAGAATAAGAATAGGAGCAGAAAGCATGCTTCAATGTCCACAGTGATGGATAAAGTGGCACAGAAAACAGATAATGAAACCATGGAATAAATATATGGATGAAAAAAAAAAGAGCAACTAAAACTATGATAACTAAAATTTTAATAAAATGATAAATTTCCAATCAAAAGCTAAAGTAAAGTCTGGCATGAATTAGGTACCAGATCATATGCATCATATCCATCACACTTGGAAGCAATATCTAACAAGATATCATCAGAGCATTGCAAGGAACGCTTCTGGATTTCATGTTTCAGTAGAGCGCCACGTTCTGCAGCAGCAGGAGCTGGCAGTTGCACATGAAAGTCAAACCTTCCTGAGGTGAAATCAAAATTACCAATTACATAGCTAAATTTTTGAAAAGGGAAACAATAGATAAACCTAGCACTGCTGTTTTCAATGTTTGCCGCCACCTAGTCTATGGAGGACTTCTACAAGCAAATGACTAACCAGAAGAGCTCAAGGCCTGTGGTATATTAGTGAGGGACTGAGCAGTAGCTATGAATGCAATGGGACCAACTCCGCATGAGCTCCTTCGCTTCTCCTGTTGAATGTAAACTTGAAACTTGAAAAGGTATTAATTAAAAGCATAGAAGCTGAAGTAGAAACAGCATAGCCACTTTAAATAAACTTTTGTAAACACGGCTAAAGGCAAAATGTCAGTTCCTTGGTGTTCCCGATTGAAAGAATATCCACGTGGTTAAGTTTATACCCAGTCCATCCAATCAGACTAGGTAAGGACCTTTTTTATATGGCAGAACCACTTGAAAAGTATCTACATTTTAGGCTTGTACCTGTCTCCTTGAGTTTTAATCCGGACACGGCACCACAAATCACGAAAATCTTAAGTCACGGTTAATTATTCACTAAATGCAAGCATAGCATTAGTACTAACAAGACAGTAGGACCGCAGAACATTATGGTTCATTTTATGCTTTCTCCCATCTCAATTGAAAACGAAAATGCTCTTAGTCATTTCCATTAAGAGTAGATGGGTGATGTAAAGACCAAAATAAATGCTGAGAATATAACTGCACAAAAGTTCGCAGTGAAGCATTGTAAATATGATAGATTATTATTTATTTGCTAAACATCAAAATGTAATGTTGATTAACCATTGTGTGGATAAGAGACATGGAACTGAAACAAAAGAAGTACACATCATAGAGATATACAAGATCAACCATTAAGGGTCACAAATTGTCAACAACACAGTTCATGAGGGAGGCACAGAGAGAGCAGATGTTAGATGATTCAGAATCACTTCATAGACCTCTTGTCAAGTGAAGGATATGACCTTTTGCACTTTGCTATTTGGTGCAATGTGAACTAAAAAGTATATAAAGCAAAAAGCTCATACTCAAATTAAAAGCGAAGATCTGCCAGGAAACATGGATACTTATACCAGCCTAATTCCAAGGCAAGCAAGAATATGTGGGATCCCTGGTCTTCTCTTAATTTAAGGTTCTAGTCTTGGTTATACTTAGGGAAACTCTTATCCCAGGGAACCAAATTCTTACTAATCATATTATATGGAAATTCTTATTCCCACAGAGCCCATTTATTTCAAACAGCTATGTTCCATAGCTGATAGGACAACACTTACAAGATTCATGAGCATGAAAATAAGCATAACTTCATATCAGCAATTGAAAGCTACAAATTATCGAAACGGTCACGCCATCAACGTAAATTCTTTACTTTTGAGGCATGGACCTTGTGAAGGCATGGCTAGATGGATTTTGAGTATTTATGCACAGTGGATTTAGATTGAGTTTGATAGCCGCATTTCTATTAGCATGATTAAAATCATAGCTCGGCACTTGCAGAAAATATCACATGTAATCAAAATGGCAGCATCTGAAGACCACATTCCCATGGACATAGAACTTTTTTCCTTTTATTCTTTTTTGATTAGGATGGACAAAGATATAATAACAAGGTAAATACTACTAAATCGGGGCAGGACATGGCAATAGACAAAATATAGGAAGATACACATAAAACAGATGCACAAACTTACAAGCACATATGTAAGAACACAAACATGATAATGTATATGAGTGCACATAGATGTACATATATATGATGTCATGAACATGATCATTTTTCTTCCCATCTCGTCCATTTATTAAAAGTTTTATGGTACCTAAATTCCTTATTTTTTAAAGTGGTCAAAAAATTTCCAAAACAAATTCTATAAAATATTTCTTTTTAAGTCATTCACGTTTACCTAGCTGGAAAACAATATAAAAAATTACCCAACATCCAATGTATGCCATTCTGAGAAATACCCGAGTTATTTTGTCAAATTGAATATTATGCAGATGATTTATGCACCTCTTAGGTTTTTCAACCATTTACAAGAAGCTCATGAAACACTTGTATTAATATATTTGTGCACCTCGGTCGAACGCTGATATAAGGGGGCAATTCTTTGTCTCTTTTCATATTTTCTTTATCCATTTATCTTTTGTTTTTTTTTAAATTATTTGTCCGGTGAATTCTACACGGCCATTTTAGTTACAAATCCGATCCCAAACTTAAATTCGTATTTTCAGCAACCTTAACCCCCAACCCTTACTATAGTTTCTTAGAACACCACATTTTCCATGTAGTCTAGTAATAATTTGGTGTTCGGTGATCAAGAATAAGTGCGTGTAGTTAGGGGTTCGGATGCCGGACAGTTGGATTAAGAATAAATAGTCGAAAGCAATGTTATCAGAACTGGACCAGTCATCAAACCGACAAAGGGACCGGGTCAATAGTTCACTGGTTGGACTAGTCATAAAATTAACACCATAAACACCTAATCCTATAAAAAAAAAAGGTAACTAAAATCTTGATAATGTTCATATACCAGGCTTAGCTAAGCCTTTTTGCCTTGTCGAGGCAATGATGCTATTTCTCTAAATTTAAAATCAATCACAACAAGGAAAATGAAAGTGTTCAATGTGTGTTGTGTGTGTTCAGTTCTGTGTTGTGTGTGTGTGAGAAAAATAGAGAAAGAGAAAGAGAGAGAAAAAAAATAGAAGAGAAGACTTACTGGCAGAAGGAAAGAGAAGGGATAAAGATCGAATGGCTGGCTCGATTGCCTAAATGGAGTCTATTGTTGTTGTGTTGTAGTGCTGTTGTGCGTTAGGAGAAGAGACAAAAAAAGATCTCAATTTAGGAAGAAATTGCCCTAAAAAATTGATTTTAATTTTTGTCAATCCCTTAAAATTTGAACTGCCCGATTCAAACAACCCATCCGATAAAACCGTCTGGTTTAGAGGTTTAAATCTGGTTTGATTCTCCATACAATTTAACTCAAGAACCGGACAACTTAGGGCCGGATTCATTGTCCAATCGGTTCAATCTGTCGGTCTGGTTCAGTTCTGATAATACTAGCGGAAAGTGTGTGCGCAAGTGTTCTGGTGATGATTGGAATGTTAAAAAAGGGTAGGAGCATAACTGGTGAAGAGAGAACGAGTCGAGATGTTCACTCGAGTAAGTTAGGGTTAGTGCATTCCTGGTGATCAAGGGTGCGGGAACTTCGTTAGCAGGACAAATTGGAGGTCAATTTGATGTTCAAAAATTTAATTAATAATTTCCTAGTGTTTGATTTAATGTGTGTGTACTTTAAAATTAATTAAATATATATATATATATATGTATATATATATATATGTATATATATATTTGGTCAAAATGGGTGAAATTATTAAAATACCCTTGGAAGCATCTCCACCTTCTAGCATGGCAAGTTGCCAATTGGAAGCTCTCCAAGGCATGCAGTCTTCCACCGTGCTACTTGGAGGGTCAGTCAACACTAGTGGAGGATTAAGAGCCTAGGAAAATCGTGGGAAGAGAGAGAGAGAGAAAAATATATTTGAAATTTCAAATTTTCTAGAGAGGCATCTTCGAACATTCAAAGGTATATTATTGCTTAATTAGGTTACTAGAAGTTCGTTGGTGTTGTTAGATTTTGATTTGGCTAAGCGGTTATGCTTGAATTTTTGTTTGTGAATTTCGGATGGAAGAGTTTGACAAAACAGGTTTAAGGATTAGGGAAGTATTGGTCTATTTGGTTGATGGGTTTGAGCTGTTGCGTGTTCAAGTAGCCTTTTGGTGGTGGTTTGCTAGCTAGCCGTGGTCTATGGTGGTGTGGAGGTGAAGGTGAAGCTTTGGCCACGGAGGTTTTTGATCTCCATGGTTTTTGGTGTTTTGAGCTTCAAAGGAGGGTTATATCTAGCTAAAATGAACCTTAAGAATCCATTGATGGCTTCAAAAATAGATTTAGAGGTCATTTTGAGGGTAAAAATGGGAGTTGCATGTCTGGTCATGTGTTGAAATCCTTATTTTTCTTAGACTTTGACTAATTTTTAGATGGGTTTAAGCTTAATTCAAAGCTTGGACCTATGGGGATCTAAAAAGAGTCATGCGGTGACTGTGTGAGTTCTAAAAATAGAGCAATTGGTGTACACTGGAATGAGAAATAAAGGAAAGAAGTATGGTTGAACTTGAAGAAAGGGACCTAGGGTTTTGGTCAAAGTGGCCAAAGGAAGAAAATTAAGTGGGGGATGGACACCAGTGGACCCCGACGGCGCGTAAGGGCGCATCATCAGGTGTCCGATAGGGTTCTGGTAAATAGCAAAAGTTATGTAACGTCCGTGCAAAAGTCCCAATAAAATTTGAGGTCAATTCGATACCAGAATCAATATGTGGTGTAAAATGTCTATTTTGCCTTTTGGCATCAATTTGATCCAATTTTTGGATATTTTTGTCAAATAAATTTTGTATCCACTTTTAATTAGTTAAATTGAATATTTGTATGAAATTTCATTGAAAAATAACACTATTTTATTTTTGATCATTTCAGATCCAGATACTGAATTAAGTAGGGTTTCTCAATTCTAGATTAGGCGATACTTTTCAAATTTGTTTTGAAATTATTCCTTAGATTTATTTATGACTGTTTAGCACGTTTTGAAATAAATGATTAGAAATTTGAACAATGGCTTGGAATCCAAACCTAGATTAAGGTTTTGAGAAGAGTTACACACAACTGCTTGAAATAGCCGTATGGTTTGTATTGATTGAAACACCGGGATACGTTTGCATGAAATGTTGGTGCACACCGGTCGAGTGGCAAAGGGTTTACGGTCCATGAGGCCTTAGAGGGTTTCTCATTGAGTTCGTAAATGCTTGGATGGCCTAGTTTGTCTTCGGACTTAAGTATTAAACTTTGAATAAGGAGGCAAAGGATTTACGTTCCTTGAGACCGTAGAGGGTTTCTTATTGAGTTCGTAAATGCCTGGATGGCCTAGTTTGTCTTCTGACTTGGGTACTGAACTTTGAATAGGGAGTGTATCTTCCTCTGAGTAAAAGTCCCCGAAAAAGTTGGGTCGTATGTTCATATTGACCTTGGTCTATTAGGTTGATTGCCCACCTAGCACTGTATTGATGATTCTAAACTCTCTTTTATTATATCGTTTTGCTTAAATGCTATTGTTTTACATGAAATGACGTGGTTTCTCATATATACATATCAAATGCTCGTTTTACTTTTGCCCAATTATGTTAAACTATGTATTTTCAAACATGTTTGCTTGAAAATTTAGTTACTCTATTAAGTTGTTGATGTTTACCCTAAGTTGTTTCCCTTTTCAGATATGTGAAAGCAGAAAGGCTTATACATAGTGTACTGTCAAATGTTTTTATACAATTTAAAAGATGCAATCAGTGCATGTATTTAGAATAGATGTAACTCTCATGCTAGTGGGTTGTATCTACGTAACAAGACATGTAGTAGTTTGACTATAATTCATGTACCATATTTGTGTTTATACGAAATCCTTTAGTTTGTATGATGTGGGTTGGTCTACTACATTACGCTAAATTACGTTAACACTTTTACATGCTTTCGCAGGTCGGTAACATATATTGCACGCCCAGGTCGAGTTGGGGTGTGACAAGTCAAGTTTTACCATTCAAAAAACCTAGATTATCCTGCATCACTAAGTATCATGACAAATATGGGAAAGAATCTGATCTGCGAGGAATGTTATGAAATATTGCTAACATTGCAACATGCCAATGTTACAGTTAACTTCTGATTGTGAGCTATCCGCTTTCTATAGACCTATTGGTACCAAATTTTCTTTCTTCATATGCGCAACTTAAACAATAGCAAACCCTCTCGTTTAACTAAATCATGTATCTTAATTCTTACCTACAATTATTGTGATATTGGTCAATTTCACTGCTTTCTACAGTCACAACTGATTAATACAATAACTGTACCAGTTTATTGCCAACACCTAGAGAACCTAAAATAAGCAAATTGCAATGTAAATGCATCAGTTCATTGAGGTCATCCAGAAAGAAAAAAAATACCAAGTAAATTGCATCATTATTATTACCTCATATTCATCCATGATGTCCGTAAGAAATTCTGTCAGAGCCACAACAGAGGATGAAGGTTGAGATCCTTCTGACTCGGAAAAAGATAACATAATGCTATCAAGATCATCAAAGACGACAACAGAAGGCGCATGATCCAAAGCTTCAGATAGGTAGCCAGAAAGAGCTTGACGAATTGTTGGAGACTTTTCTGATGTGAGTCTAGAGCAACTTACAAAAATTCTGCAACAATGAAGCATCCATCAAACTTACACATTATCACTATAACAATCTCGAGGATGCACTAAAGGACAACCAACAAAGTTTCAGTTCCCCTTAAGAGTGGCAGTAAAAAAATGTGTCAATCGCAAAATAGAGAAAGGAAATCCATACACATGTGCCAAGATGTCTTCATGTTCTTCAACAGATTTTGCAACAGCAGAGGCTAATAACGTTTTCCCAGAACCCTGACACACAAGAAGCACAACTATTTGAAATTTAAATTATAATTGCAGGTTAAAATTTTAAACAACAAATACATAATATTTTGCAAAAAAAAAAAAATTAGAATGCTATATAATGATAGCCACAAAAAGCATTCATCTTTACTGATAAGCTCTGACCCACAAAAGCAAAATATACAAACAATAGTGATACCACAATAAATATGCAATATGTCTCAGACTGAAGGACACATCGTATGTCTTTCACAAAAATAAAATCAAACAATATATATGCCTTCTTATTAGAAAAAAAAAAAAAAAGTGGTGATGAGGAGCTTCTTTATCCATCAATTATCACATAACAAAATAAAAAACTGGAAGTTAGATAGAAGGACTCACCGGAGGTCCATATAATAGAATATGTCCAGGGAAAGGAAGGTCATAAGTACTGAACAGCATCCAAGAAGCAGAAGATAGTAACATAGTCAACCCTGCATGTAAAAACAATTTACAGCAAGGAGTCAAACAGGACTTTCGCTACCAGCTTCTTTTCTACCTTTGGACGGACCACTTCTCAATCTTAACCTTCCTCCAGGATGATTTAAGGGTATCTATGCATTTAACATTCGAATATAATATGCAGAGCAGTTACCTAGAGAAGACAACCCCTAGGACTAAATAATGCAAAATAAGGAACCATGAAAAACAGAAGTCCCCCCATTTTTCAGCAATGAAAATAGAGGCATATTGACAAACGGTAGTTGGCTTAGTTTTACTTCTTTCAATACATGTCACAAGTGTTAGCAACTGACCACAGTTAAGAGGAGCGTACCAAAATCTGTTTGTTGACAATCCATGAACAGAAGGGTTTGGAATCAATCAAGGCAAATTTAGTTAAGAATATTACTGTTGAAGAGGAGAAAATGATGCAGCAGAACTAAGACTATGGTGGCCTCACCAAATTAGGAAAACTTTGGTTTCAAAAGAAACATTAAGTTTCGCCATGTGGCCTTGACAAATTAAAATGGATCTACTTCAAATGTTGGCCCATTACATCATGGATTGCATAACATGCATGACAAAAGAGTTGCTGACTTTCTTCTCCTTGTACTGGTTTGCATGGAAGGTGAGGAAACACTGATATTATCATTGTCAATGATCCTCATGTGAATTTCAAACATTACAAAATTTAAGAAATTAAAGCAGAACACACACACCCCCCCCCCAAAAAAAAAAAAATGTGTGTCATATTCAACTTTCACATATGAGATGGGTAGAACTTGTCCTACACCAGAAATGCGACACCTTCATAAGTCTCCTGGTCCTCTTTACTCGCTGCCATCAAGTTGGATGCTTTGATAAGGTATCAAATCTAGATTAGGGAAGATGGTGGATCAAGTCTCAACAGTTTGTTTACCGGTTAGATTTTTTTAGTCTGGTATTTATGTGGTATTCCGATTAAAGTAGAATTCCCTATTTATGATTATGGGTTGATCATTCCAAGTGCAAGTTGAAGAGAGTGTTAAAATTTGTCTCACATCAGAAATGTGAGAGCCTCCCAAAACAATAAGACTATCAATGGTCCAACATGCTTAGTGAAAAGTGAAGCATAAGACTATCAATGGTGTGACCAACAATTAAGGGAAAACAATTTTATGTAAACCAATCGACCACAAAGGATACATATTAAGGAAAAATACCTACTGTTAGTTACATCAGAAGCAACTGTGCCCATCCAGCTCAAGGAAGAAATTGTTGTATCAAAGCACTTGTCTGATGATCTCTCTTTGACAGAGTGGAAAGATACACCTTCACCCAAATGCAGCGTTTCAACCAACAATTCTAAGGTTCTCAGGTTAGTGTTCTCCCTGTTTCCACTATCAAGTTCAAGTTCATATACACCAGTTTTTTCACCACGCAGAAATTCCTCAGAAGCAGACAAAACATAAAGGATGTCAACTGATGGTTCTCCAATTCTATTTCTGCTTTCCAGAGAACTATATGATGCCTGCACCTTTCCATGTTTTGCAAATTTATGATTCTTCACCTTAAAGTGAAGCAACATTTTATTTCCTAAAACCAACTTACTAACGTCTACTCCTGCATGGGCAACTATTGTGTCGATTTGAGCTAAACACCATGCACGCAGAAGACTTGATATTCCCTTTCTACTGTTGAACTTAGTAGCAGCTTCTCCATCCTCACTACTAGGAGGTACATATGAAAGAGCTGCAACAATTTTCTCATGGTTTGACCAATCAATTATACCCATATCAGTGTCTGAGTTGGTCTTGAGAAGCGAATTTTTGGTCTTCCAATTCTTATGACTATCAAGAACTTCTAAACCATGATTATCACCAGCATCATTCTTTCCAAACCTCTTAAATTGGAAAGGAGAAAGCGTAAATAAAGGAATATCTTTCTTCAAATTGAAGTTGCATCCCTTAGCATATATCCCTGGAAGCACAAGAGGGGGATTTCAATTGATACCCCATATTCGATTAAAAACTCCAAAAACAAAAACAACAGGCGTAAAAATGGTCAAAAATAAAACAAGAAAATATTCTCCCCTTCTTTCTGGAACATAAATTTGTGTGCTCCACTTGTCCATTTAGAATACGAAACTAGCCCTTATCATTTATTTCCAGAGATAATTGCAGTGTAAAAAAAACGTGTCATCAAAAAGGAACAACTTACGACTGTCAAAGTCACGTAAAGGTTAGTGGCAACAACAAAGTCAACAGGGACCAAATTATTGAAGATAGCAAAGGTAATATTCTCATAAATACTGTGAAAAATATTCACATAAAATAAAGATAGATATATATACTGCTAAAAAAATATTTTTTAAAACAAAAATTAAGTAAAAAAGTAAAGAAACAGATACTAGCATGTAACACTGTTTCTCATTTTGTTTTCAAATTTTTTGGTAGGCATATGACGCTCGCTCTTATTGGAAATGTCAAGCTCATGCTGGAAAAAAAAATTAAAGAGCAATTTTAAGCATCAGAGAAAGTAGCCCTGTTTCCAATCCACCTAGGTTAATGTAACCCTTGACTATAAAACAAGATGCTAATGGAAACAATAAACATTAAATGCAGTGTGGCAAAATGTGATTCAATTCTTGGGAGAATAAACATACACGAGTGTAAGCCTGCTCTCAAATAAAGTCGGAGAGACTCAGAAACCATTATGTGTCCTTTAGCCACTGACTCTGAAATCAAAAGACGAACAATTGCCTGATGGAATTCTTGCTTAGCTTCTTTTGCAGTTGAACTGCTTTTTACACTTGGACGATCTGTTTCATGATTCTTCTTGATCTCCTTTGATGGCAATCTAGGTACTATATCTACAAGCTGAAGAGAATTGAATGAATTTTTTTTAGCTGTGTCTGGATGAATAAAGACAGCAGAAGTGAGCACTACACCCATGTCTATGCCATTGACTTCGCACTTGTGAATAAATCTATCATCCGAGTCTTGGATACGCAGTAGTGCTTTGACAATAGAATGTTCTTTTGCAGAGGCATCTTTGTAAGAATCAGTGTTTCTTTTGCGTCTCTTTGGAGCAACTGCAACTTCACTTCCTGGCACAAGTTGCACTGGGAACCATTTCACAGTTCAGACATTTTTAAGATGGAATACTTTCATTTATTTAGGTCACTGAGTGCAACTCTTGAAATATATAGAACAAAAAATATAAAATATGGTGAATTGCAAGGTTCCTGCATCACAATAAGTATCTGATACCACAATAACAACAGCTAAGGTTGTAGTAATGCTGGGTTATAATAGAGGAGGAAGGAAAGGGAAGAAAAAGTGAGTCACAAAAAAGACCCAAAATTGGATCTAAATCCACTCATGAGTGGTGATATTCATCAGCCGCATGGACTTCCCTATTTCTTCTTTCCCCAAGCATATAGTTTAAGGTGACAATTCCCATCCCAATCATAGGCTTCCCAAGATTATAAACATGACTGAAATGTTCAATTCCTACGGAATTCATCGTCTTTCTCTATCTCGCTCTACCCATAATATGGAGATGATGGATGGGCTCCACTTCATTCAGGGGCTCCCTAAACGGGTCACATACATTATATGCCAGCACAGGACACATGGCCCATCCACTTGCCCCCATATGAACACAAATTTCTATCACATTCCACTTAACCTTATAAAGAAGGAAAGCCGAGCACAAGGCAGCAACTTAGCTTCTTTTGCAGCACTCGCTCTCTCTACCTTTCCATTAGTCTCCCAACTAGAATACAGCTTTCATTGTTATTGTAGACCTTGTGGCATAAATCCAAACTAATATTCAAGAACTACTTCATGCCTTATATGCAACTCCCTCACTCTCCTCAAAGTTTTCTAGTATTACCAATTAGTATGATACATTAATAATTGGCAACATTGAATCTCCTTTAATCTTATTCTGAAGAGGGAACGCAAGGACAATCTGAACAAAAATGCTTAACTAGTGATTCTTTAACTACAAATATTGAATTTTCCTACAAGAATTAGAAGTTATCAGGGAAAAAATGAACACTCAGAATAAGCAGATAGATCTAGTAGTCACAAGAACAATCAAACAGCTGAAACAGTTTAATATAACTCTAACTAGCGCTCTTTAACTAGCAACTAAGCTTATTTTAGAGCCTTCATCTAAGATAAGTAAAGTCTTAGGGCCTGTTTGGCACAGTTCTTATAAAAAGGATTTCTTGTTCTTTGAGTCTCCAAAAACACAAAATATGGGTGCAAATTTGTCTTGTTGATTTTTCTTGGAAAGTTGAGAAAAGACAATTTCAGGAAACATCGAAATGATGTTTTCTAGGTTCACTTCATGTTTATCCATTTACAACAATAAATTACCATACACACAGTATTCTTAATATTTTCGTGGATCCCCGAAATCAGTATCATATTTCCACAGACTGCCAAATGTGCCCTTAATCTCTCTTGGCAATAATGATTGAGATGGCTCAAACACATATAAGACCGATTTTACTTGAGAATAATTATTTCCTTCATGTTTACAACACCATATTAGGAGAGATCAAAGTTCAAAGTTGAGTTTGGAAACCTTTTCAAATCTCTTCCACTTTGATAACAATTAGACCTAAAGCTTGGTCACCTTCGATATTATTAACCAATTCCCCTGATGCAATCTTTTAAAAAAAGGGGGCAGCTCAAAAGTACACTGCACCATTCATGTCACTCAGGTATGGTGGTTGGGTTTTTTTGCCCCATGCTACAACCCTAGGAATCATGGACACTTCATTTTGGTCAAAGTGTCAGTATCGGACACATCTAGGACATGGACACGTGTCGGGCACACGCTAAAATAAGTGTCTTGTTATATTGTTTGGACAAGTTTTGGACACGCTGGGGCACGTGACCAACATACTAGGATACGTTGGGAGCACACTAGAGGACATGTTTTGAGTTTTTTTTTTTCAAATTTTTGAAAACGTGTCAAGTAACTTTATAAATAAAGAAGTTATATTTGTAATTTTAAAGAGATGGGTCAAACTTATAGTTTAAAAGAGTTATAATCACTACATTCCACTTGAAAAAAGAGATCATAGTCACTATATGAACATAGGACACCGATATAAACATTTTTTTGATAGGAAACAAGCTTCTTATATTAAAAATCAGAAAAATATCAAGAATATTGGATAAGGAATCCAACTCTAAAAGCAATGAAAAGGAAAAAGAAAAAAGAAAAATTACAAACAAAAGAAATATGTAAAAAACTTATAAATTACATGAAGCTATCCATCCTGAAAGTATGGCTGAAAGTATAGCAAAAAGTGGAGTCCTCTAAACTCTTTTGTAACTGAATCCCAAAATGACGCTAAGAAATAAATCCGGTCCCATAAGCCATCCAAACAGTCTTCTCCATCTTAAAAAATGCGTGTGTTTCTCTCCTTACATATAAACCAAAAAGTTGCAATTATAGCACAATTCCATAGAGTGACACCCTTATCAATAGACCCTAAACCTTTCAAATCCTCAACAAACAAAAATATGAATGATTTAGGAAGCAACCAACTCAAGTCCACCAAGTTAAACAACTTATGCCACAAAGTCAAAGCAATAGGGCAATGTAAAAACAAAAGATCAATGCTTTCGTAATCACTTTTACATATCACACGCCATTGAAGAGAGAGACAAGTAATAGGTCTCCTTTTCTAAAGCATATCATTAGTATTAATCTTCCCATGTGCAACACATCGATATAAACATAATTTTGGAAACAAGTACGAAATTATATACATATGGAATTAACTTTATATAAAAGTAATTTGACGAAAAATAGAGGTTTGAATTGGGGCTCATTGAAATTGAATTAACATTAGGGTTACAAAGTGGAAATACAAAGCTCTTTTCAGTTTGTGGACAAAGAATAGGGATGAAATCATCCATCACAGTACTGGTGCAGTTCTTAGCATTTAGCAGAAGTGAGCAGCATGTTGCAACAAATCAAGAAAAATAAACAGCAAATATTCTCTTACCTACCGGTTTCTTAGGGAGGGTTGAGATGACAATAAATGTAATGATTGTTTGTCCATGCAACCACAAAGGAAATCGCATTGCTTCATGGACAATTCCAATCTGCATTTAGTAACAGAGGCCTTCAGTAGCAGGAAATTTGGGCAAAAATTATATGGTAATTGTTAAGTTGAGTGAAATAACATAACACAATATTAGAGAGAAAGAGAGAGGTTAAAACTTAACCTAACTTTCATACATAACTTGTATTTATAGTCAACCTACAATAATAATAATAACACATACACCTTCTTACTATTAACAATATACATATACTACCCTATTATTTTTAACACTCTCCCTCAAGTTGGACTATACATATCATATAATTCAAGCTTGAAACAAATAACTACAAGACGTGTACGACTCAATGTTTTGGTAAACATATCTGCAAGTTTATCTTCAGATTTTACAAATGGAGTTGTAATCTCCACAGCTACTATGTTATCCCGAATAAAGTGACAGTCAACCTCAATATGCTTGATTCTCTCATGAAACACAGGATTGACAGCGATATGGTTGTCACAGAACAACTGTAAAGGAAGTTGAACTGAAAACCCAATTTCCTAGAGGAAGTGTAATAGCCAAGTCAACTCACTCGTCGTATGTGACATTGCCCTATACTCAGCCTCAGCACTGAATCTTGCTACCACGTGTTGTTTCTTACTTTTTCAAGAAAAAACATTACCTCCTAGGAAAGTACAATAATCAATAGTTGATCTCCGATCAGAAAGAGTGTCAACCCAATCAGCATCTAAGAAATCTTTCACTCTAAGATGTCCATTAACTCGATATAACAGTCCAAGTCCAGGAGCTCATTTGAGGTATCGCAAAATACGAGTAACTGCCTCCCAATGTGGTACTCTAGGACATCCTATGAACTGATTTATTATACTGACTGCATAGGAAATATCCGATCGAGTAATAGTGAGATAATTAAGCTTCCCAACTAATCTGCGATACCGACCCGGATTCTCAAACAATACATCATCATCCATCAATAATTTCTAATTCGGATCCATAGGGACATCAATCGGTCTACCACCCAGCAAACCTGCTTCCTCAAGCATGTCAAGTACATATTTTCTCTGAGATAAAACAAATACCCTACTTAGATCGAGCCATCTCAATACCCAAAAAATACCTGAGTTTTTCCAAATCCTTAATATGAAATCGATCCTGTAAAAATTTTTAACTTGGCAATCCCCTTAGAATCATTTTCAATAATCCCAATATCATCTACATAGACCACCAATAAGTCATACCCAGCATCTGTCTACCTATGAAACACAGAATGATCTGTCTGACATTGAAGAAGACCAAACTCTAAAATTACATCTGAAAACTTATCAAACTATGCCCTCGATGACTGCTTTAAACCATACAAAAAAAATTTTAACCGACATACACTCTTACCATACTCCCCTTGAGCAGTAAACCCAAGTGACTGCTCTATGTAGATCTCTTCAACCAAATCACCATGTTAGAAGGCATTCTTGACTTCTAACTGAAACAAGGATCAATCAAGGTTAGTAGTCAAAGAAATCAAGATACAAAGAGATGAAATTTTAGCAACAGGAGAAAAAGTCTCCTCATAATCAACACCATAAGTCTGAGTAAAGCCCTTTGCAACAAACCGGGCTTTGAGACGCTCTACAGAACCATCTGGATGAAATTTAACAGTATACACCCAACGACAGCCAACAGTTCGTTTACTAGAGGGTAAAGGAACGAGATCCCAAGTCCCATTATGATGTAAAGCATCCATCTCCTCCTCTATAACTTTCCTCCAACCTGGATCAGATAATACATCCTGTAAATGCTTAGGAATAGATATAACAAATAATTGAGAAGTAAAACAAGAGAAGACAGGAGACAAGGCATCATATGAAACAAAATTAGAAATGGAATGATTAGTAACACACGAACGAGTACCTTTGCGAATAGCAATAGGTAAAGAATCTAAATTACTTGATGTTCCTAGATTAGAAGGCGACAAGAAAGGTGATATGGACACTTCAGTCGATGCACGAGGACGACAAGAGTAGACACGGAGAGGTAAAGTAGATGATAACACAGTGGGTAGCGGAATATCTGATGGTGGTACAGGAGAGGAGCCAAAGTCCAGATCCAAAGGCTGAGAAGGTGCTGGAAAGTATGAAACAGATTCTTCAAATGTAACATTCGCACTAGTAAAGTATCGGTGCAGAGAAGGACTGTAGCAACGATACCCCTTCTGCGTGCGAGAGTAACCAAGAAATACACATTTGATAGCTCGAGGTTCAAGTGTGTCAAATCCAGGACCTAAATTGTGAACATAACAGACACAACCAAAAACCTTAGGAGTCAACCTTAGGAGTCAGGAAAAATAAGGGCTTACCAGGAAACAGAACAGAATATGGACTTTGTCTATGTAACACAGATGACAAGTAGTAAGAATAGCATCACTCCAATGATATCGGAAAACATTCATCTGGAATAACAAGGCACAGGTGACTTCCAACAAATGATGGTTCTTACGTTCAGCAACACCATTTTGTAGAGAGGTATAAGCACAAGAAGTCTGATGAATAATGTTAGTTTTACTAAGATAAGCTGAAAAAGGATCAGATTCATATTCCCGAGTATTATCAGAATGTAAAGTACGTATACGACAACCAAACTGAGTTTTTATTTCTTTACGAAAAGTCTCAAATATAGAGAATAATTCAGACCGAGCTTTCATCAAAAATAACCAAGTCACACAAGAATAGTCATCTACAAATATCACAAAATAAGGATATTTATTAGATAAAATATTCTTTATTAGACCCCATACATCAGAATTGAATAATTCAAATGGACTAGATACACGATTATTGACTTTAGACTGAAATGACTAATGGTGATGCTTACTAAGTTGACAAGTTTCACAAGACAAAGACGACACATAACTAAGACTGGGAACTTGGCGCTTTAGATTTTACAGAGAATGATGTCCAAGACGACAATGCCATTGAAAAGGAAACAACGACGTCTATAGAGCTCGAGTAGATGAATCAAAGTCAAGATAATATAGGCCACCAGCTTCATGCCCCGTACTAATCTTTCTCTTCGTCTTGAGATCCTGAAAGACACAATAAGAGGGATAAAAAATTACAGAACAGTTGAGAGAACGGGTAATCTTGTTAATGGAAAGTAAACTAAAAGAAAACTGAGGAACAAATAACACAGAAGATAGGGACATATCCGGACTCAAGTGAGTAGTATCCAGATTTGAAACTTTAGAACAAGTACCATTAGCAAGAGTAACACTATGTGTGAAAGTAGCGGACTAATAAACAGAGAAAACGTCAAACGCACCAGTCATGTGATCAGCGGCGTTAGAGTCTATGATCCAAGGACTGTGAGTAGAGGACAATAAACAGGTGGAAGCAGTACCTGACTGAACAAAAGTAGCAGTGGAGGGAGATGAAACAGCCTGTTGCTGGGACAGAAACTGAACATACTCCTCTCGACCCAGTGTCTGATGGAGCTAACCGAGGTATGGAAGCAACAACAGAGGTGTCATCCTGATAAGAAGCCTGTTTAGCATTACCAGAAGGTTTTTCATGTAAATCCCAACAGAAATCAACAGTGTGTCCTCCACGGCCATAGTGAGTACAGGAACGGAATCTACTACGACCTCCATGACCACCACGTCCACCTCGATGACCATCACTATGGCTATTAGGAACTACAAGAGCTGAGCGATCAGTGGAAACACCATGATCAATGACTGAAAGAATAGACAGTGTAGCACGCTATAAACGAGAGAAAACCTCCGACAGTGATGGAAGACTAGATCCACCCAAAATCTGAGAACGAATAACCTCATATTCAGGTTTCAATCCTACCAAAAATCGAACAACATTCAAATTCTCATGTTGCTTTTGTCAAACTGCTGCATCAGTAGTAAACAGATGGTAAGTCTTCATCTCCTCACAAACTCCCCGAACATGAGAGTATTAATCTGCAAGGCTCAGAGTATCCTGATCCAACCGGAAGTACTCCTTGCACACCTCATACGCACAGGTAAAATTACTTGTACCAGAATACATATTGGCCAAGTGATCTCATATCTCTTTGGTAGTATCAAGATAGAGCAGAGAAGAGCTAATACTGGGCTCTATGTTATTCAACAATAAAGAAATAATTTGAGCATCCTCTTGTTCCCACTGATCATACCCAAGAGTGTCTTCCTTGGGTTTAGAACCTACCAAATATTTCTTAAATCCTTTGCCTCGAAGAAAGACTTGAACAGAGGTCATGGGACTATTGATAAGAGTCAGAGGAGGCAAAGATGGAGTAAGGGACCTGGTATCTTGTTTGGGTTCCAAAATAGTGCAACAAATAGCAAACAAGAAGTGTGACAATGCTAAGCCAGGAGAAAAAAAAAGTTGAAAGACTAAATTAGACTGAAAAGAGGGGCTGGACCGCTGAACCTATCAAGCTAAGCTCTTTGGAAGACTGAACCAAACTGAATTGAGCTCTAGGACTGCTGAACCGACCAAGGAATGGCCACTAAACTGCTGAACCGGCCAAGAAATGGCCACTGGACCGCTGAACCGACTAAGAAATGGCCACTGGACTGCTGAATCGGCCAAGGAATAGCCATTGGACTGCTGAACCAAGATTGAACCGATGTAAATCTTACTAAACTAGGTTGAACCGGGACTGCACCAGGTTGAACCGGTTCTAGACCAGGCTGTTCTGGATTTTTTTTTTAACTAGATCTGGGCTTGGATCTTGACTCAGCCACCCAAACCCGACCCAGGAGGTTGTCTTCTTCCCAAACAAACCCTAATGCTCCTCACTATTCACACAGCAGCACCGCCACACAGCACCACCACCTAACCACACGACACAAATGGCACTCCCAAACCTATTCGACTACCACCACAGCCATGAGTCGATCAACCCAGTCGACTGCGACGGCCACCACCACTACTAGACAACCACTTCAGAGTGCTTGAACAAGACACCACTAACGTCAACCTCCTCGTTACACTCAACCATCGACGACGACGACAGTGGGCATAACGACGA